ATATATATGCATGCATGCATACTGTACCCATATTTACTCACCTGATATCTGAAAGCTCACATGTGGGCAGCTTCATCTATGACGTATGAATACCCAGACGAAGCTTAAAGACAGACTGATCTGTGAGTTGATTTTGCAGAGCTGTTTTCTGAAAGAGGCTTATTTTTGTCTGTTAAAAGTTACAACTACGCAAAACTACACCGTTATTAAAAGAAAGCTAAGCATAAATAGCTCTTTTTCATGGACAAAACAAATGACGTGCATTGCTTACCAATGCCATATCAGTACCTTCATTTGTCCACAGTGTGTCATCATTGTCATTCCTTTAACCCATTTTGAACCTGTGAAGACGTTTAACTGGTAAAATACCTGTGTTATGTGTTTTAGGACCCTCATCACACTGTGTCAATGAGACAATACAAAATCTATGTTGATAAAGTCTGGATCTGTGTGTAGATGAGTTATGTAACTATATCTTTATCGATTTATTTCTCTTTTCTGTGTCACAAAATCATACACTGCTTGCTGTTCCTACATTAGTTCCTAATTTTAATTTATATTATTTCAGACTTATGGTAATGTTTGTTGTTAAAGTGGTTCAGAAAACCAGCTGACTGAAATATTTCAACAGATTACATTCTTTTCTTGTCCTTTTCCTAAACAGTCCATATTTCCTAAACTGTGTGATTTTGATGTCCTTTTTAGATCAAGTAAAAAAGGTTTCTGTCAGCCATATAGAGGGATTGCCTGTGCCCGATTCATTGGTAACCAGAGCATCTACGTGGAGTCTTTACAGACGCAGGGAGACAGTGAAAATCGGATCACCGGTGAGCAAATGCACAAACCTCGTCACAGACTTGTGTACAATTTGATATGCTAAAAAAAATCCTGAAATTACAGATTAAACGCGTTCATTTTCTTCCTCTCTTTTAGCTGCCTTCACTATGATCGGCACCTCCACCCACCTATCAGATCAGTGCTCCAAGTTCGCCATCCCATCCTTCTGCTACTTTGTCTTCCCGCTGTGCGATGAGGGTCCTAAAGGCCCTCGGCGGCGTCAGCTCTGTAGAGATGAGTGTGAAGCCCTGGAGAACAACCTCTGCTATCATGAGTACAGCGTTGCCCGATCCAATCCCATGATCCTCATGCAGCTTGAGCTCCCCAGCTGCCACCTGCTGCCAAAAACAGGCACACCGGATGCTGCGACCTGCATACGGCTGGGAGTGCCACCAGAAAAACTGGGTTCCTGTAAGTCAATTCTGTGGCTTCTGTGTGTAATTATAAAAGTAAGAAATCATAACAAATACATTCAGCAAGCACATTGTAATATGTCTTATCACTTGGCCTTTTTCAGACAATGAGGTGCATATTATTCATGGCTAGTGCAATTGCATTTTGTCAGACATTTATCACTTTATTGTTTCCTACTGCAGGTTGTTTTGCTGTAACAGTTCTGCTCAGCTCCACACTGAACATAGCTAGGCTTCATGAAAGAGTGGCAAAAGGTCACAGGAAAAGGTCATTGTTTAAAGGGGCATTGCTTGAAGTCATGCTGAGAACACTATCCATGTCAACCCACAGTAATAAGTAACTTTCACAAAAATCTGTAGTACCCCATACAATACAACGGGGTGGGGGTAGGAGCAGACGAGAGGCATGGCTGTGAAGAGAGGATGTGTTGGTGGGGATAAAAGTGACTACAGAAGAGCAAGGAGAGGAGAATGAGCAGGTGGCAAATTCATTTCTGTACAGCCTGTGAGTTCTTAGACTTAAATAAAATTGAAGCAGCATTTTCGAAAAAATCCATAAGATTGCCCTATTTGTCTGTATATATGCAAAATGGGTGAAAATCCATGTAATTTTTGAACAATCCGTACAACTTCACACATACGGAACACCGTCCTCACAGTAAAGCACGGTGGTATTAGCATCATGATGCAGGAATTGGGAAACTGGTCAGCGTTGAAGGAAAGATGGAAAACACAACATGCAGATGATCTTAATTTTACACTCCTCTTTTAAAATGCCAGGTCTTTGTGATGTAAAAAAATGGTTTGCACACCTTAAACTAATAATTTGCATACAACATACTTTACTTTTAAGACATTAGACTTTTTTCACAAGACACCCCAGTCTGACTGCCTTGGTGTGACTTCTGCTGAGGTGGATAAAGTACTTGAAAAACTAAATGAGTTTGGTAAAAATTTAATTTCCCTAAGAAAAGTAAAAGTCATTAAACTGCTCACAATAATCGGGAAATTAAAGTACAAGTACACTCTAAGAAAGGAAGTGTTGAATTTACTTAGCAAAACAGATTCCACCAAACTGAGTTGAGTCAGTTGCTTTACATTTACTCAGCTCATTTTAGTGGAACCAGTTGACATAACTTGGTTAAGTAAATTCAACACTTCGTTTTTTTTTTTTTTAAAGAACTCCTTTCATAATGAGTTCAGTCATATTTAAATTTTTAGCGTGTAACCAGGCGTTACATTTTAAAGTAAAATGATCCTTTTTATGTTTTGAAAGTAACAAAATAAGAGTAAAAGTTATGATTACTTGATAAACTTACAAATCCACAAAAAAATACATAAGTACTGTGTATAAAGTAAATGTACTTAGTTACAATAGACAGAGGCAGTGAGGTGGGTTGAAACCCAGCCCACCCCGATGGGCTTTTGTGCCACAAAGTAAAAGGAAGAGAGCAGCTTAAAGGAACAACAATGTAATATATTATATTTAAGAAAAATAGTTTCATGTTTTTGTGAAAATAAAACTTTAAAGTCAGTTGTTGGTTATCTAAGTTCAGTATAAATACTTGGAGCAATGTTTCAAAATTTGTAGTTTTTAATTTATGAGTTTTTTTTTTAACTGGGTTACAAAATGTGTCTGCTCTGTAGATTATCCTTCAGAGCAAAGCTGCTACAATGGAAGTGGGGCTGACTACAGAGGAACAGTGGCCATCACTAAGTCTGGGAACCACTGCCAGCCGTGGAGCGCACAGTTTCCTCACAGTCACCATCTGTCCCAGGAGTACCCCGAGCTCTGGGGAAGTCACAACTTCTGCCGAAACCCAGGAGGCCAGATGGAGGCGCCATGGTGTTTCACTCTAAATCCTGAGGTCAGACTAGACCTGTGTGACGTCGAGCCTTGCAGTGAGTATCCCAGCACAATAACTGGTTTAGAGTGATGGAAACCAAGCAAAAACTCAATCCAAGCCTTATTTGGATGGATACACAATAGCACTAAGCAGACAATGATGAACACAACACAATTCACAAGTGATTGTAGTTGTTTGTGCCATGGGTTTTTCACAAAAGCTCAAAGTTATCATTCTTGTCTGACCTCATAAACTAATATAAGGTGATCTTTATTAACACAAGACTATTTAAAACAGATTTTAAGATTTTTACCCAAGTTTGTGTTGATTATTATTGATAGTAAAGATAAACTTCAATCTCCACTCAAGCTGGAGAAGTTTCACTAAACTGACTGCATGCAAAAGAAGCAGCAATCGTTTACTTTATTATCACAACTGTTTGTGTCAGAAAAGTTCATCTGAGAGACAAAGGTAAGTGATGAAATCCGTTATTTAGATTAAATTAATTAAATTAAAAGTATACATGATGTTGTATGATATACATTGTTATTTTCCCAATTTTGATGATAATTAAAATTTAGGGCCTAATATTGCTTGAGGGAATGCATATTGGCCTTTCATGCTAAACTTTTGAACTCAGATCATCTTATGATGTAAAATAACAGTTATGGCCATTTTGGTCAAATCTTGAAAACTGTAATGCACTCCCACAAGAAGTTGCGAGATCTTTCGTGATCTCTAAATTCTAGGCACAGAGTTCTATAAAACAACTAAGAGTGCACTGCCCCTCACCGATGGCGTCCAAAACTGGCAACAGCTCCCAGCCCATAAAACAGCTGTTTAATTAACAACAAGCCCAACTGGATCTGTCATAAATTTTCTTTACAATAACTTAATATAATTCATAATTAATGTTAATTTCATACAACAATCATGAAAAAAACAACTGGATGTTATAATAGAAAACAGTATATTGGGTCTAACTGATGATGATCTGAACTAGTCCTGAAGTCAGTGGTTAACTGATTGACTACCAATGATTGAGACATTTTAGCTCGTTGAATAATTATGACTTCAACTCGTTGATGAATTTACAGCTAACTTTTTTAATATAACTGTGTAAATGTAGAAGTACTCGTTACATTTAATTGCAGTGATCATTGTTTAATCTATACCTACACAAAGGTTCAGAATTAATACAAAGAGGTTTTACACAGTAAATATTACAACAACAGGAGGAAGTACCAGCTTGGACTATTTTATAATTAACAGGTTTTACAGGTTTTAAATGTTTATATTATTAGCTTCAACTGGATCACATTCACGTTGATGAAATAATATAATTCTTACTAGTGAAAGGAGGCACATTCTCTCTTCCTTTCTGTTGCTACATCTATAAAAATCACAGCTTTTTGGCATTTTTACATCAATATTCCATAGCATATATACATTCTAACATTACTGTATATTCTAAATATATTAGATGCACTTCTTTATTACATTTTTTGCATAGACACCCCTTACTCAGGGCTATTTAGCGAATATCTACCAAAACACCAAGTTCAGACATTTGTCTGCTTAGCTAATGTAAGTCATTTCTACAGTTAATCAGAAAGTCACGTGAGCAGTGCACATGTGAGGTGTCTTATGTAGCTCTATGATTCTAGTTCCATATACGTAAAACTGAGTTATTATGTTTGTGTTAAGGTTGATTAGCTGAAGAGTCTTATTAAAATGTATCCAGTAGTTTGAGATATTTTACAATCAGATGGAGATAAACAAACACAGATGCACTTTTCATGATTGCAGTTGTCTGCCTTTTATAAGGCAGGAAAAATGAAATAATGGGAGCCTTCTGCTCCATAAGTGTAAAGGGAAAAATGCAAAAGAATGAATTTCCACATTGGGGACTAATAAAGTACCATAAACACTATTATTACAAACTAGCAAACTGTTTAGGTTAAATTCTGCCATAACTGAGATAGGATGTCATTTATATTTACTGATAGAACAGATAATGAAATAGACATTTTTACACTGAGCAAATAACAAAGCAAAACTTAACTTGCTATCTTATCTGTATTTTACTATCAACAGTGCCTCCAGAAAGCCCAAGGAAGGAGATCTTGTTTATTTTAATCCCTGCTGTTTCCATTCCCCTGGTCATTGCTGGCTTCTTTTACCTGGTTTGCAAGTGTCGAAATAAACAAAAGGCTTCAACAGGGACACCGCCGCGCTGCCAGACAAACATCTCACCCAACCAGGACATAGAGCTGTCTCTTCTCAATCAACAGAAACAGCAGGTAACTGTAAAAACTCTCAGCATATCTAAAGATTTCACTTCGAGGGTTCTGGTCCAATTAAAAAACTGACACAAAGTTCACTGAGGAATTTGCATCATATAGCCTGAAGAACTTAAACTTAACCTGAACTCAAAGCGCTTTTTAAAATGTTGAGATTAAACCATCACATCTAGGCAGTGGTGGGCACAGTTCCCCTAAAGCACTAAATAGGGGAACTAATTTCCTGATTAGTGCTTTAGGACTTTTGCTGATTTTAAAATTTATTAGTGGATTAGCACTTGCTAAATTTATAGGCTAAATTTAGAAGCACTAACTGAAGTCTATAAATGTTATTGATCATTAACAACTGAAGGTGAAAGCGGTCGCTCATATTGTTCATATATGCGTCACTTGTCCACTAGTTGACATATTGACGATTTATGAACTCAAATACAGCTGTGGAATGTCAATGATAAGTCTTAAGAGAGCAACATGGCAACATGTGACTCATGTTGTCGTTGAAGAATGTTTATGGGTTGATTGGGTTATTTTAGTGCTTTAGAATTAGCTTTTGCTAAATTTTCAGTGTGTTCGTGCTTTAGAATTAGGGGACCTAAAAATTTGAGTTAGTGCTTTAGGGCTAGTGGGACTAATTTTTAGATTAGTGCTGCCCACCACTGCATCTAGGATGTCAGAAATTTTATTTTATTTGGTTGTATGCTCTTTTGCTTGTATAAACAGTATAAATGAAGTCATCTTGAGGTTACAACAAAAAGTTCAATTTTTTTTGTTTTTGAGGTCTTTGAAACTTTGAGTCGTTCTTGTTCAATCACATTCATAAAAACAAATGTGACATGTTTTTATTGCAGTCATACAATATGTTGACACTTTTTAATGTCTTCATAGCTGCCAGCCAAGCTCCGGGAGATCCACATGTCAGCTGTGAGGTTTATGGAAGCCCTTGGTGAAGATCGGTATGGCACAGTCTACAAGGGGCATTTATACGGCACAGTTCCTGGTGAACAGACCCAAATGGTGGCCATCAAGACTCTAAAGGACAAAGCTGATGCCACTCTGTTTGAAGAATTCCGCCAAGAAACCATGATTCGTTTTCAACTGCAGCACCAAAATATTGTTAGCTTGATCGGTGTGGTCACCAAAGAACAGCCAAACAGCATGATATTTACCTATTCCAGTCTTGGCGACCTGCATGAGTTTCTTGTGATGCGCTCCCCTAACTCAGACGTGGGCAGTTCAGACGATGGTAAAACAACTAAGTCCACACTAGAACAGGCTGATTTCCTCCACATTATCACTCAGATCGCCGCTGGAATGGAGTACCTTTCTAGCAACCAAGTGGTCCATAAAGACCTTGCAGCTCGAAACATTCTGGTCTTTGACAAACTCAGCGTCAAGATTCTGGATCTGGGTCTATTCAGAGATGTTTACTCTGCTGATTACTACAATCTCATGGGAACAAGCCCTTTCCCTATCCGCTGGATGTCTCCAGAGGCCATTATGTACGGAAAGTTCTCCACTGATTCTGACATCTGGTCTTACGGCATTTTGCTGTGGGAGACATTTAGCTATGGTCTTCAGCCGTATTGTGGCTACTCCAACCAGGATGTGATTGAGATGGTTCGCAGCCACCAGCTGTTGTTGTGTCCAGATGACTGCCCGGCTTGGATTTTCACCCTCATGTTGGAGTGCTGGAGCGAGCTGCCAGCAAGAAGGCCTCGCTTCAAAGATATTCACTCACGCCTGCGCTCCTGGGACAGTCTGTCCGTTTATAATGGCCCTGCCCAGACGTCTGGGACCAGCAACACTACCCAAACCAGTTCACTCAGTACCAGCCCTGTTAGCAACGTTAGCATGAGCACAACAAACGCATCGCGTTACACCAGCCCCAAAAAGAGCTCACAATTCAATCAGCCCCAGTTTATGTCAATTAAGGGTCAAATGCACCGGCCAATAATGTCTCCCCAGCTCTTCATCCCTGTCAATGGATACCATCCTTTGCCAGCTTATCCATACCTGCAGAACTTTTACCCCATGCAAATACCAATGGCAATGCCCCAGCAGCAGATGCACCACCCACCACAAGTTAACAAAGCCGGTTCTCACCACAGTGGCAGTGGTTCCACCTCTACAGGTTACGCCACCACCATCCCTTCCAACACCTCAATCACAGAGCGATCTGCGTTACTAAATGACGACTCCAAAGCCAACCATGAAGACTTGGCTGGCAGGGGATCTCAAGAAGAGCCAGTTCAGAACCAAGGCTTTTCAGTGACTGAAACAGAACTGCCCGGTGGCGATGTGAATCCTCAAACAGACGAACAGATAAACAGATCATCCGACACATGAGCGTGGCGCTGTTTAAAGGACAGTAGAGCTGAGCTTTTACTGATCAGCAGAAGATGAAGGGAACAATATAGCAGAAGACTGTTGAATGTTTTTTTTTTTTCATATTTTTGATAGTACTGATGCACTTCACTATCAAGTATATTGTGTGTTTTTTAACCTGTCACACCTCCTGTTTTAATTTGTCTTTTATAATCCCTGTTTTCTAAAGTATTACTAAAGTTTTTTTTATTTACTACAACCAAGTTTGTCTTGTTTTGATAAATTTAAACTTTTTTTCATGTTTTACCCTTCATAATGTCAGCTGTTAATTTTCACCGTTAATCGAGGTACTGAAAGTTTGGAATCTATTTACCCAATACTCATTCTTCTTAAATGCATGTCATATTTTTCAGAGCATGTTGACCTTTTTTATTAAAGGATTGTTGTTTCAAACAGACACTATGTGCAAATAATAATTCCAAACTTTTATATTACAAACTCACAAAGGATTTATCTTCACTGTGGAACAAGTTTTGTGTTCACCCTTTTTTTTTTTTTTTTTTACCTCTTTTTGAATTTTGTTGTTGGGTTAAAATGTTTTGATATGTAAATACCAAATAACCGCATACCAGAATAAAAAGTGAATGATGACAAACTATGAGACATCCACTTTTGTCAAAGATTACCGGTACACTCAGATGTATTTGAAAACTTGCGTTTGAGTTGCTCTTGAAATTTTTTTAACTGAAGCACTGGACTGATTTTAGTGAGACACAGAAAGTAATCATTGGCTGTGCATCGATTACATTACTTTTTTAGGGCAACAAAAATGGCTACAGGTCCGTCTGTTTTGTAGATATTGAAATAAAATTTGATGTTGTAGTAGCTGACAGTCATAACTCATAATCCAAGCACTAAACATTGCACAAAATATAATCTTAGAATGTATTGTATTCAATTTGCAATTATATTTGGGAGTTCTGGATCATTTTTATTCATTAGAAGAAGAGGCATAAATAGCTTTTTAGATGTAGGTGGCAGACTACTTTTCTGGTGTTTAATTGTTGTATAAACTACAGTAACTTATTCATAAACAAAAACAAATTGAAATGTTATTTATTTTGTCAATCTTTTTTAAAAGTGCCAAAATTAAAGTGTAAATGTAATACTCCATGCAAAATCAATATTGTCAGTGTGGCAAACATAAAGTTGTAGATGTTGTGTTATTAACCCACCACAATGGGCACACACTGTGCAGCTGTTGTTTGCTGCAGCCTCCAAAGGTCAGACACTGGACATCGTGGACCACCTCCAAAACAAATTGTGCTCTAAAATTAAATCTATTACAACAAAAGTTCAGTAATCAGATACATGTCAAGCTTACGCATATTTCAAATATGCCTAAATGTGTTGAAAATGCCAAAAATTCAATATTTAAAACTTCTGGAAGCAACAGTACAATTATAGAATTCACATGAAAGATTTTTCCCAAAATCATAAAATCCAACAGCGATAAGAGAAAAATAGCTGCACAAACAGTGTGACGACATACGTTTTTAAATCTAGATTTGAACTTCCTGTTCGAGGGACTGAACTCTAAACTCATTGGTTAAAATTGGGAAATGCTGCGCCACTATTGGCTGAAATAGCTGTCAGTCAATCTTACGCTACCAATACTTTTATCACTGACCTACTGACACAGATCCATGAGTCACTCACTAGCCACCTTGAAAGGGGAAAAATCCAGGGAAGAAGAACAAGGTAGTTGGCAACTTGTAGGTAGGATGTTTTTCGTACCTCATGTTCTCAGTAATATCTCATCTTTCTTTATCCTTCATACGAGGTGGACACCAAGACCAAAGTAATCGATCAGGTGAAAGAAAAGGTATGGCTACATTTAAAGCTTTTAACAAGCATGATAGTTATATACGTGGGGAAATGCCTGTTTTTAACATGGACGAACTCTGTTTAATCGCACGAATGCTGTTTATTATTTCCGTGTTCACGTGTGGGAAAAACATTTTAACGATAAATGATAAATACAGGGTGTTGCTCTTGCTTTTTACGTGGTTTTGTATTATTTTCTGCAGCTGTACGGCTGATGAATCCAGGTCGTGCCTGTCAGAAAAGAATAATTTTATTCAGGCACGTAGTAGTTTAATGCGAGTTCACGGCTTTGCTGGACTGTATTGTGCTAAAGATTTTTGGCGTGGTGTCATAAAACGAGCCAGTGAGTTATTAAGTATAAATAAGCATTGTTGGTAAATAATATATTTGTTTATTTCTTAGCGGCTTTTCACTTTTTAGGGCGTATGAAGGACCCCGCGCGCGCGACCCGCCTGTGTCATGAGTAAGCACAGCTATGATGAGGTCATGTTTAAACTGTAAATGCTCTCATTGTCTTAAGCAAGCCGACACACATCTCTGTTCGTTATGATGGTATTTTAGCCCGAGAACAGAGCAGCCGTAGGCTTACGTTGTTATTGCCACATAGCAAACATTGCATAATGACTGCAGCGAGAGAAATTACCGGCAGAGAGGAGGAGTGGGGTGTTGTTGTGTAATCCGGATACAATGGGAATGTGGGGCAATAGGACGTGATGACGGACGTCACTCCGCCGTGATCCGTATCAGATTGTCTGGATACGTAACGGAGCAGGGGCTGCCTGTGGGACTGTTGCACGTAAAGCGGTAATATCCCCCACCTATTTTTAGACACGCGTGGTCTAAATTTAGTGTTGATGTCATAAGTTGCCTCCTTGGAAAATACAAATGGGAATGGTGTCATTATGTAAGCGGGTTTGCGCAGGTGGCAGTGTTTATTCTGTCATCAAAAAATAAACAAGCCTGATGGTAAGGGCGACGATCTAATGATCTAATAGTGGGAGTCATGAGGCTTAAAACGTGTCCTAACAGCGGGCCAGAACTTGCACTGGGTGTGACTCCGGTACACATTATCCCTGAAGTCAGGGGTCTGTGTGGCTCTGGGACCACAATCCGTTCTTTTTAGCTTTGATCAAAACTAGCATGGATGTATTAAATTTAGGTAGAAAAACAAATGCATTATTTGTTAAGCCACTCTGATAACTTAATATCCTACAAGCCTTTTTAATATATACTTACAGGGGTTAGACAATGAAACTGAAACCCCTGTCATGTTAGTGTGGGAGGTTTCATGGCTAAATTGGACCAGCCTGGTGGCCAATCTTCATTAACTGCAGATTGCACCAGTAATGAGAAGGGGTTATCTGTGGAATCAAAGTGGGCGTGTCACAAGAGTGGGCGTGTCAAACACATGAACACTGTGGGCTACAGACCTACATGACGGTATCCTTAGGTTATGTTCACACTGCAGGCAAATCCAATCCAAATCTGATTTTTTGACCCATCTGACTCGTATCAGATTTTTTTATGACAGTCTGAACGAGACAAATCCGATTTTTCAAATCCGACCCAGGCC